ATGTGGTGTATTACATTGATAGATTTTCATATGTTGGACCATCCTTGTATTCCAGGAATAAATCCCACTTAGTCATGATGTATAATCCTTTTTGATATGCTGCTGAATTCCGTTTTTCTAGTTGTTTGAGGATTTTTGCATCAGTGTTCACAACGGGATAACAGGATATTCATTTGCAGTGTTCATTTCTTGTACTGTCTTTGTCTGGTTGTGGTATCAGGGTAATGCTGGCCATACAGAATGAGTTACAGAGTGTTTCCTATTCTTCAATTTTTTGGAAAACTTTGAGAAGAATTGGTGTTAGTTCTCATTTTTTTTTCTTTTGAGACAGAGTCTCGCTTTGTTGCCCAGGCTAGAGTGAGTGCCATGGCGTCAGCCTAGCTCACAGCAACCCCAAACTCCTGGGCTCAGGCAATCCTGCTGCCTCAGCCTCCCGAGTAGCTGGGACTACAGGCATGAACCACCATGCCCGGCTAATTTTTTCTATATATATTAGTTGGCCAATTCATTTCTTTCTATTTATAGTAGAGATGGGGTCTTGCTCTTGCTCAGGCTGGTTTCGAACTCCTGACCTCCAGCAATCCACCTGCCTCGACCTCCCAGAGTGCTAGGATTATAGGCGTGAGCCACCACGCTTGGCCTAGTTCTCATTTTTGATAGACTTCACCAGTGCAGCCATGAAGTCCAGGTCTTTTCTTTGTCATGAGAGTTTTTTTTTTTTTAATTTAAAAATGTTAAAGGAGTACAAATGTTTTAAGTTACATGGATCACTTTTGTAGTGCTCAAGTCCCAGCTATAGGTGTGTCCATCACCTAATATTATTCACTTTAGGTAGGTTTTTGCCCCATCCCTCCTTCCCCTTCCCCCCTGGTTGATTTCTACTGAGTTTTAGTTATGAGACTTTTGATTATTGATTCACTCTCCTGACTAGTTAGGTCTATTCACATTTTCTATTTCTTTGTGGTTTAGTCTTGATAAGTTTTGTATTTCTAGGGATTTGTCCATTTCAGCCAACTTATCCAATTTGTTAATGTACAATTGCTCACAATACTATCTTATAATCCTTTTTATTTCTGTTTGAGTCTCTCTCTTTTTCTTAGCCCAGCTAGCTAAAGGTTTGTCAATTTTGTTGGTCATTTTGAAGAACCAACTTTTGGTTTTGTTATATTCTCTATTATTTTTCTTATTCTCTATTTTGTTTATATCTGCTCTAATCTTTATTATTCTTTTATGGATACCTTTGGGTTTACTTTGTTCTTATCTCAGTTCCTTAGGTTGTAAAGTTAGGTTGTTGATTTGAGATCTTTCTTGTTTTTTTTTTTTTTTACCCAATATTGCTATATTATCTTTCTTGTTTTTTAATGTAAGTATGTACTTCTATCAATTGTACCCTTATCACTGCTTTTGTGGTATCCCATAAGTTTTAGTATGTTTTGTTTCATTCTAAGTGTTTTCTAGTGTTTCTTGTGATTTCTTCTGTGATTCATTGTGTAAGAGTATGTTGTTTAATTTCCAAAAATTTGTGCATTTTCCAGTTTTCTTTCCATTATTGAAGCAGATCTAAATGTACGTATTTTCTCTGTAAGGTGTGTCACAGCCTTCTTGCACTTTGAAACATTAAATCAGGGGCCCTCAAACTTTTTAAACAAGAGGCCAGTTCACTGTCCCTCAGACCATTGGAGGGCCGTACTATAGTTAAAAAAAACCTAGGAACAAATTCCTATGCACGCTTTTTTACTTCCTATTTTGAAGTAAGAAAACAAATGGGCAAAAACACCCACATGTGGCCTGCAGGCAGTAGTTTGAGGACGCTGGCATTAAATAGTATTTCAGTCTGGGCACAGTGGTTCACACCTGTAATCCTAGCACTTTGGGAGGCTGAGGCTGGAGGATCACCTGAGCTCAGGAGTTTGAGACCAGCCTGAGCAAGAGCGAGACTGTCTCTACAAAAAATAGAAAAATTGGCCAGTCACAGTGCCAAGTGCCTGTGATCCCAGATACTTGGGAGGCTGAGGAAGGAGGATTGCTAGAGCCCGGGAATGTGAGGTTGCAGTGAGATATAATAATGCCACTACACTTTATTCTGGGCCAGAGTGAGACTGTGTCTCAATCAATCAATCAGTCAATCAAAACATACATACATATATCCACACTACACTTGGAGGCTATTTTAACCAGCAAAATCACCAACAAAAGGCACAAAAATATGAAAAATATGGCATAAAATAGACAATAAGTGGGACAGTTGTTTACAGTTTGGAAGCTGAAACAAGAAGACAGTGTCACCTTGTTCAATCTTAGCTGGGAACTATATTTCCCAGACAGTCGAGGTCAGTTTTCTGGCAGCCAAGGGGAACACAGCTCTCAGCACTCAGTGGTCAGTGTAAGATCATCATGCCTGTTATTCTCTTCTTGTCCATCTAGATCCGTTTTCCACACTTCTTGCCTTAGGCCACCTAAGGACTGTGTCATCTGGGCCTCCTTGCTCTCTGACTTCTGATTGGGTTCCTCCTGTGGGAAGTACTGTACCCCTGGACCCTTCCCTTTTCCTGAAGGGCTGGAAGTGGTAAGGCTTCTTGCTGTTGCAAGTTCCTAGGATCCTCACTATACTCAGGAGGTTCCCTAAAGCCTGCTCATATCTTTGTAAATAGTCCCATCACTAACCGGCCCCTCAGTGAAATCCCTTGAAGGTAAGGGTCTCTTTCCTGCAGTCACTTTCCCCCTTTTTCAGAACAGTGTCCTGAACTCAGTTATACCTTGTTGTTCTCCATGCAAGAAACCTTATTTACCTTTCTTTAGAAAATAATCCTCCAGACTTCTGTCAGCATGAGAGAGGGCAGTTGCCCCATACTATGAAGTATAGGTTAGAAGGGAGAGAATCTAGGGAGCCTCATGTGTCTCTGTTTTCACCCAATCTTCCTTTATTAGCAAACCCTCTCCCCAACCCCAACCCCCATGCTGCCTTTGCTCTCTCTCATATCCAAAGGCTCCTGGTACTGAGTTCCTGAGTCTTTGGGGAATTCTGTGGTATAACTCAGGCTGTTTTCCCCATTGCCAGTTCAGGGTTTTAATGTTCTCAGCCAGTTAGGATCTATATTTCATCTATCTCTTTTCTGTTTTTTTATTTTGTGTTGTTTTATTAATTCTGTTTTCCAAAATGTTTCTGATGTCTTAGCTCCTATTTCCTGCATTGACTTGGCTAGTTTATGCTTGTGTGTAGGATAAAACAAAAACAAATTACAGCAGTAAAAAGGTTTGCTGTAGTTTTCATGTGTTTTTTCACAGTAAGTAAAATTAGACGCATGGATTCAATCTGTCTTAACCTGGAATCCTCCACTAGTACTTTTTAAAATTGAGCTTTTGATGAGCATACTTGGAGTGTGGGTATTCTCTATACCAAATAAGGTCAGATCAATTAGCCTTACCGATCATCAGCAGAGTTAGGAGGAAAGCTGATTTCCTCTTAGTTGAGGAGGATGACTATGACAATGTCTGAAGAGAAGGTTGTACCACTCCTACATGGATGTGGGCAAAGTAAACGTCATATTAATAGAATGTAATTTCTCACCAACTTCCATGCAACCCAGGGGAAAATGTGCAATTAAAACCTCAAATTCCCATACTAGAAAGGTGCATCATTGAAGTTTGCTCTTCGAGGTGGGAAGGTCGCTTGAGGCCAGGAGTTCCAGACCAGCCTGAGCAACATAGCGAGACCTTGTCTCTAAAATAAACTTGGCTGGGCATGGCGGTATGCACCTGTAATCTCAATTACTCATGAGGATGAGGTGGGAGGATTGCTTAAGCCCAGAAGTTTGAGGCTACCGTGAGCTATCATGGTGCCACTGTACTCCAGCCGGGGTGACACAGTGAGACCCTATCTCTACTAAAAAAAAATTGTTCTTTGGAATTCTGGTCCAATGATATACTTTATGATATAATTCTGGTCCAGTGATATACTTTATGATAAAAGGATCAAATTAGTTTAAGAAATGTGTAGACTATAACCCCCTCACCTTGGACAATCCTAATTATATTACATATTAAAGGCTATGGAGAATCCAGTGATTAAATTATGTGATTGAATTTGTTACCCCAGTTTTCTCCAATATTATTTTACCATGTAAAATTTTGCCTCCCATAATACATAATGTAATTAGTGTTATATATTAATTAGAATACAGTTTGGAAAAAATTTCCTTATTTTAGCCCAGAATAGTTGTTTGTTTTTTGGTTTTTTTGAGACAGTCTCATTCTGTTGCCCGGGCTGGAGTGCCATGGTGTCAGCCTAGCTCACAGCAACCTCAAACTCCTAGGCTCAGGTAATCCTCCCGCCTCAGCCTCCTGAGTAGCTGGGACTATAGGCATGCGCCACCATGCCCGGCTAATTTTTTTCCATATACTTTTAGTTGGCCAATTAATTTCTTTCTATTTTTAGTAGAGAGGGGTCTCACTCTTGCTCAGGCTGGTTTCAAACTCCTGACCTTGAGCGATCCTCCCACCTTGGCCTCCCAGAATGCTAGGATTACAGAAATGAGCCACCACGCCCGGCCTAGAATAGTTTTAAGGAGGTATAAACAAATGACATGTTGGTTGGTCATAAAACACAAACAAAAGTTAAAACAAAAAAAAAATCTTCACAAAATACTTAAAAAAATACCTCATGAACTTTCTGTGATAAATATGTTTGAAATAATCTATTGGCACATTGAGTTGACTTGCATATATGGGAGTTAGCTAAACTCTTGGTGAACACCTTCCAAAAATGATGATTCTTGGGATCTGGAATGACTGATGTTAAACCATCCTTTCTTGCTACAATTAGAACTCACCAGTTACTAAGTAAAGCCATTACTAGGTTTTCACAATAATAATTTTATCTCCATGAAAGAAGTAGTGATGTTTCAGTGATCAGAAGGTTAAAGAGCAGGAAACCTATTTGACTTGCAGTGTGTGCATGCACAGCATTTTGGGTTTGACATTTTCCACTGGCTGTTATTTTGTCCACATGTTTACATAAAGGAGTAGGGTCCACGTATTTACTTTATTAAGATAACATAGTTTGCAGAGCTGTCTGTCCCTCAATTAACTGGACGTTTGAGTTTTGTCTTTTCTACCTAATGTTATTTTGTGTAAACAATTACGTAGAGGCACAATGTTCACATAGTTCTCTTATTAAGCTACTATAGTTTGTTACTTATTAAGCATTTGAGTTTTTTACAAATTTTCATGTTTTGGTAGAACAGTGAGATGATGTAAACTTTGTTGTACACATTGCTTTTCATGATTTTGGAAAATTTTCCTTGCAGTATAATTTGAAGATGAGATTAAAGACTATAAATTTTTCTGGTTCTAATATTTTATTGCCAAATTGTTAAACTTTTTTAAGAAGTCAGAACATCACCTTTTCTGGGTTACTCTGACCAGATCCTAACTTAAATTCCTGAAAACATAAGCCTCATTAACAAGGTCATTATGGCTTCATCTAGAAAACAGAATCCAGTAAAATGAAGGAAATTCTGTTATATTTTTTCTTTACTTGCAAGATGCTGGGTTTTGAAGGGAAGAATGAATATCTCAATTATAGAAATAATGAGAATTATGGCCAAAGAATTGGTGTCTCATCCCTGAATGGTCATTATCCCTGAGGTCTTTCTGGTCTTCTAGAATTGATTTAAGGAAACGTTTTTGTGCACCAGTTTTTGAAAAACAGTTCTTAAGGTCCAGCAGGTTGGTGTGAGGTGTGGCCACTCCAGATCTAGGAATCCAGCCCAGAATAGGTTTTGTTTCATCATAGGTTTCCATATTCAAACCCAACTGTTCTTCTGGTTTACTTAAAAAATGATCTAAAGCCAAGCCTTCTGTGTCCAATTCATTTTGTAAAATACTAGGCTTACTAAGGTTAACAGGGTTTGGACACATATCACGTAAGGGATATTTATAATGGTCATAGCGAATGTAATCGCTTGGTTTACAGTACTGTGTGGGTTGGGATTTTAATAGCTGTTTCAAGTACAAATCTTCTGTCTTTTTAGTATCTGTGACTTTCGGAAATGATTTTATGTTGTAAATACTACTTAGATGTTTTGTTGGGTAGTAAGATGGGCGTGTATAGGTAGACAGCAATTGTTCTTCTTTGATCTTCTTTTCAATATCCTTTTCTTTCTGGGTCACACCAGCTGACATGTTATCTCTAAGTGCCATCACTTCTGTACTGGGTACAAAGGTATGAAAATTACACAAAACTCTAGGGGTACAATCCGGGCAGGCAGGCTTTTCCTGGACGGCAGCCTGCAGAGCGCGTCGGTGCTGAGTCGATCTGGCAGTTCGTCCTTCCAAGGGTCTGGAGGGTTTGAAGACAGGATGGAATTTTTCTTGCTGTAGTTGTGGGATAAAAAGGAGAAAAATAAATCAATTAATAAATATGGCATTACAAGGATATTTCTACAAATGGCAGGTAGAAAGTCATACCCATTTCACTGTCTGAGTACATGAGAGGGGTGCAGGAATGTACGTTACAATGTTCTTTGATGTTAATTTAAAGACATTGAAATTTAGGTCCAAATAAACACATTGTTCTCCCTCACTGGTTTTAGCTAATATGGAAAGGGCATATTTTTTATTTGGCTACATAGAAGCTCTTCTATGTAGGAATTCTTTGCTTTTAAACTTCAGAGATATAAAGGAATCACTGGAATAAAACTTCTGCCTATCACCAACAGATGATGTTGGCAGTTGTGTGCAATTATTTAAATCTCAGCCAAAGCCTTTTATATTAGGCCAAAGCAAGAATTCTTAAACCTTGGCTGAATCAGAATCTTCTTCAGAGCTGACATGAAATTCAGCTCCTAAGACCTTCCAAGATTGTGATTTGGAAGATCTGCAGTGGGGCTCAGGAATATACATTTTTAACAAGCAGCTCAGGTGATGCTGAGGCCCATAATATGCCATGCTTTGAGAAAGGCTGGTCAGAGGTGTCATGTCTGTGCTTCTTTTGAAATGTTTTCTAAATATTACGAACTCATCCATGTCTGGTAACTGTGAAAGCAATGAGTGCATTCAAAGTGCTATATATATGCTGAGTGGGAGAAGGAGAAAGGAGTTGACTGGAAAGGGGCATGAAGGAACTTTCTGGAATCATAGTATTCTGTATATTTATAAGGGTTTGGGTTTGTCAAAACTCAGTGAATGTACACTTAAGAGTTGTGCAATTTCATTCCACCTTAAAAAAAACTGAAGCCAGGTGTAGTGGCTTATGCCTATAATCCTAGCACTTGGGAAGGCTGAGGCAGGAGGACCATTTGAGGCCAGGAGTTCGAGACCAGTGTGGACACCATAGTGAGAACTCTGTCTCTATAAAAAAATGTTAAAAATTAGCCAGGCATAGTGCTGCGCACCTGTAGTCCCAGCTATTCGGGAGATTGAGGCAGGAGGATTGCATGAGCCCAGGAATTTGAGGTTGCAATGAGCTATGATGACACAATTACATTCTAGCCCTGGGCAACAGAGTGAGACCCTGTCTCAAAAAGTAAAAAAAAAAAAGAAACAAATATTGGACTCTGGTTGAATATACACATGCTGAATATTTAGGAGTAAAGTATACTAATGTTTATAATTTAGTCTAAAATACATAAAAAATAATAAAGTTTATTGGTGGATGGTTAAAGAGATGGAAAAATGGATAGGTTATGTGATATAACAAGTATAGTAAAATGCTAATGGTAGAATCTAGGTGGTGAGTATATGGGTGTTAACTACAAGATTATTTCAACTTTTCTATATATTTTTATAATAATATGTTAAAGAAAAAACTAAAAAAGGATGTATGCATGATGATGGAATTATCAGCAGAGTTAATAAAAATGAGACTGGTGAGAAAAATAACTGTGGCTTGGACTTTAAAAAAATGTACTTAGGAATATCCTTTTGGTTACAACCTAATCTGTTCATAGTTGGAAAAATTTCCATACTGAGTTATTATTAATAACAAATTTGTTAAATTTTTGCTATTCAAGTGTGAGTAAATAATATGAAGAAAATAAAAAACTCTCTTTGACATGCTTTGTTAAATTTGTCATAAACAACAAAAAGATAGGGCTTATCATATCAAAATTTGATAGCATGTCTTTATGCAAGAAGCAGTTTTTGCTACCTTTAATTTACTACTGCAATATAATATTTCATATGCATTTTATTACCACTAAAGCATGTTTTCCCAGAGTCTGTTATTTATGTTTTAGTCAGAAACCAGCAAGATTCACCGAAACTTTCTTTTAAACTTCCAACTATTTTAGGTATATTTTATCTTGTTAATAAATACTTAAGTGTTGATTTATTTGCACAAAAATTTTGCATATAATATACTTGGCAAGCATCCTTTGTATAACTGTACATGTATTTCTTTGTAAAAATGATAAAGCTGCTTCCTGAGAATCTAGACCCTCCAGGGTCAAATCTGAGGAAATCTGGACAGGTGCTGAACACACCTGAACACACTTGCTCCTTGCAAGTAAAACACAAAACCAATTAAAAACCCTTCAGTGAATGATAAAGCAGTCTAGGCAGTCTATGGAACCACTTCTGGTGTTATGATTTTATATCACCCTAGGAAATGCTGAAGCTGATGTAAAATGGATACGTTCAGCTCAGTCTTTATGAAGAGTTCAAATTTGAATAATCTTACAGTTGTTTTGTATGTGTCTTTCCATAATTTACATCTTTAAAAATATTATTTTTTTTCAAAATTTGTAGTTGTAGAGAATAAAATGTAGGTCTCAAATAAAACAACATATATGCAAACTATTAGGTCATTTCATTTCATTTACATAATTAAGCCAACAGATTATACCTTCTTAATTAAAGGGCTTGATCATTTCCAGGCCATTTCACATAATCAATTAAAAAGTCTCTATTGATATTTGCAGAGAATTTATTGGCTTTTGGTTGTAATTTAGCCAACTCTCAATTATTGTAACTATCAGGAGGAAGCATTCATCTATTCAAAAGCAATGGTGATGTACAAGATACACAAATATACAAAGATCCACAGAATTTATTAAGAATCTCACTAAATTACTAGCTAAGCCCTATTTTATAAACCAACTCCTTTGTAAGTTATTTTAGCAAGAGTAGCATAGTGGAAAATCTGTTAAAAACATACACACATATACACACAGTGAAGAGGAAAAGAAACTTTGTTTTTCCAAGTAGTAGACAAGGGTATTCAAACTAGTTCAAATGAGTTCAGAATTAACTTTTTTTGTTTTATTTTTTTTATTTTATTTTTTTATTTTTTTTATTTTTTTTTGAGACAGAGTCTCGCTTTCTTGCCTAGGCTAGAGTGAGTGCCGTGGTGTCAGCCTAGCTCACAGCAACCTCAAACTCCTGGGCTCAAGCGATCCTCCTGCCCCAGCCTCCCGAGTAGCTGGGACTACAGGCACAAGCCACCATGCCCGGCTGATTTTTATATTATATATATTAGTTGGCCAATTAATTTCTTTCTATTTTTATGGTAGAGACGGGGTCTCGCTCAGGCTGGTTTTGAACTCCTGACCTTGAGCAATCCGCCCGCCTCAGCCTTCCAGAGTGCTAGGATTACAGGCGTGAGCCACCGCGCCCGGCCAGAATTAACTTTTGAAATGAGTTAAATTTCCCCTTTGCTAGCTTAGTTGCCAATATTCATGACACAAAAAATGGGCAAAGCAAGAAGGAGCTGAACTCCTGGATACTTTCCCCCTAAATAACTGAGAGTTGACTGCAATTACTTACAGGCTCTGGGTCAAATCCTATCTGTCCAGTTAAGTCTGCCACCTCCTTTTCATGGAAATCATCCAGTTCTAGGGGGTTCATGGGCCCCAGACCTTAATGGAAACATTGTCTTATTATTTTGTTATAGTAAAAGAAGAACGCATTTAAAGTTGTCATTTATAGGAAAGCTTACCCATTCCTTTTGTAACATAATTAGAACCAATAAAATGAAAACCAACCCTACCTCCCAGCTACCCATGAAGAGAAACTTACCACCCACCTTAATTCCTATTAGTACTTAGACTGAGAAACAGGGAAAAATATTAGAAGATGAAAGCTTGTAATAGTATTTGTCAAAGATTACAATTTTGTTCCAATTTTGTATTAAAGCAAACTCATACCTGTAAAATCATTAGTGTATGAAGTGAGCCAGTGGGACCTCTCAAGATTTCTTTGTATGTTGGCATCTTTTGCAGAGTTAATATGGTCCCATGAATTTAAAGAAGAGTTTGGAGCGTAGGTTTTAGGAGGTTTTGGGTAGAATACTGGCTTGTTTTTCTCAACACATTTAGGAAACTAGAATATGAACATAAAGATTATTGCTATTACTGTCATCTAGTAGAATAAGGGCTGATTCACCATCTCCGCAGGAAAGGGGCAAAGGAAATTCTAGGCCGAAGTCAGATATTGTTTTTTGTTCATTAATTGCTAATATTCTATAACTGTAACCATATTTAAACACAATATTTTGTCAAAGAAATGGTAGGGTCTTTTCTAAAAGTCTTTTGCCTTAGCAGGGACTCTGATAACACATACTGGAGAAATGTCCCTGCTTATTCTTCCTCCAGTGAAATCTTATTGGAAATACAAAGGGCCCTGAGGTACTCTTTTGGCTAAGGTTAGACAAAATTGTGTGCCTCCTACTTTTCCTTCCCTGCCTGAAATGAAACCATTTGATGTCTTTTATGAATTTCTGATGCCAGTTAAGTCACTGAAATAAAATTTTTATTCTTCAGACATAACTATGGCATTTTATTTTGTATTTTCAAAAGAGGTATGCTTGTAAACATGAGTGAATGAATGTTTCACAGCAGTATTTTTGGTGACGTAGACATTCACCTTTTCTCAGTATCTCTCTTATATTTAATAAATATTTACTGAGCACCTATATGTGCACAGTAGTGGCAAGAAACAGGATGGATCAAATCCTTGGGACAAATCCTGCCATCTGAGAGCATATTGGCTAGTAGGGGAAATAAAGCCTGAACATAAATGACTATAAGATGAAAAGTAACTCTTTCGTTATAAGAGAGATTAAGACAAAATTATTTGGAAGTTCAGAGGAGGAAGAGATTTATTCCACCTGAATGGGGAAGTGGGGCTGGGAGCGGGGAGAGAGGGAGGAGATGAGAGGCCTTGTTAGGCCACAGAAACTGGCATTTGAATGACATGCAGAGAGGGGGTTACCAAAGCAACAGCAGGAGCACAGGTATGGATGGTGGTGGCGAGTGTGGGACTGATATTTCTTGAACATTATGCTGCTTGTTTTCCTCATAGCTAGGCCCATGCTTACCATTTGCAGGGCCTGGGGCTAAAAGTACAAATGAAAGTCCATATTCCATTTGTCTAAATAGTTTAATTTATAAGTCAAGCAAATAAATTGTTAAATAAAATATTTTCCATTCTCCTACTTGTTCAGGGATAGAGAAGACAAAATACCTTTGTAACAACCTGGAAGACCAGGTTCAATTTTAGACTTGTTGGACAACTCTGAGTTCTGCACGGGGACATGGTGGCTCAGGAAAAGCCAAGCCATTGGCCCCTGGCCTCAGCACCCCTCTTGCTTTCTTTCTTACCTGCCCTATTTACCCATCACTCCCACTTCTAGCAAACAGCCATGTCATCACCACTCCTTTGGCCTAGAGGTATATACTGGATGGCAGCACTGTCAACCATTGGCAAGAGGGGCCTGAAGAAGATCCCCCAAGAAGGCCCTAGGACTGGGTCCAAAGCCATTTGGCTAGGGAATTCTGTGGCCCAAGATCATGGTCTGGAGAGGGAGACAGGGGAGCATGGGCTCCAGATAGACATATCCTCTTGCTCCCATAAACTCCCTGTCCCATAAGAAGGGGCACAGTCAGAGGAAGACTAGATCTGGGCCCTCTAAAGCATGGGGTACTTTAAAGTTTCTGGGCTTAAGAGTGACACTGCTCATGGCAACCCTGTGAGGTTGGAGTGATCCCGATTTTACATATATAGAGCACTCACAATAGAAGGCATTTGGAATCTGTCTCAAGAAGTATTAAATAACCCATAGGAACCTGTAGCAAATATGTGGCTTACTTACTCAGGGCTAAAGAAAGCCCCTTTGTTCTCCTAATCATTATTATTTGCAGACCCAGCTTACTTGGAAATAAGAAGGACTTTTTTCAAATATTGTTGTAAGGGGCTGGAGTAATCTTGTGTCTTATACTGGCTGAATGAATAGCAGTGACCAAGGACATGAGGAAGAAAATAGGAAATGTGAAATTTTACTGTAGCCTATGATGTCTTGGGAAGTGGTTAAAGAGCCAGGAAACACTGGAAGGGGGAGCTGGTTAATTTTCAGTAGGTCAAGGTGTTGTTACTCGGAGAGAAGAGACAGAGAGAGGGGCTGGTGGCAATCCTTCACTCAGTAGGTGTTCGTTGGTTCGATATATTCTCTAAAGAGGAGAATTTGTATCTGATACAGAAGATAAGTGCAAGGCAGGAAGGAATTCCAGTTCCTGAGATGTAAGTTTCTAGGCAGACAATCTAGTCTATGAGGAAGTGATGTTAGTTGTTTTGAATTTGGAATACAATCTTAGAGGAATAGTACTATATAAATCATGGTTATATTGCCAGTATAGCTCATAAAGTATATGTAACTCATAACTTAAACATTTACTGAATACCTAGTACATGCAAAACTATGTGCTAAGTTTTGAGGGCTCTATGCAAGGCACCCAAACTCCATAAATTGCCATTAAAATAACAGAAAGTAATATGGTTGTCATAAATGAAACAAAAAAATCAAACAGTTTTTTTGTTTTTAGTCTTGAATGATGGGGCTTAACTAGGTTTAATAGGGGAGCAAGAAAAAGTTTATTGTGAAGACCACATTGCCCTTTGGAGAGACTTTAGTATTTGGGGACACTTGTTCTTTCCTGGATCATATTTCACTTAATTCTATTGTATTAGCACCATTTTTACACTAAGAAGTTATGATCAGGCACTTTGTTCATTTGCATATGGAACGATGAGAGACATAGAGAAAGGGAGCAAATAATGTGGCAGAGATATATATATATATATTTTTTGGCATCTAGTCAGGACTTAGAAGTTTGAAGGGGGATGAGGATGCACAGTTGCGGAAGGTGCTGCCTGGGCTGGAACAAGGGGAAATGAGGAGGGGGCGAGGCGGGAGATGGGGAGAGAGTGTGGCCTTTGGCAGGTGGGGGGGGCACAGCGTGGCGGTGATGATGGAGAGGTGGGCTGTGGGTATCCCGTTATGTGGTAAGATGTACTTTGCTGAGGGAGGTGCCTGCATGCTCACCAAATTCCCTCTGGCCATTTGAGGATGGGTGTGGATTGTGGAGAGACAGAACTGTCTCGGGACTAAGCAGTGCATCTCTAGGAGAGCGCTGGGCCTTTTAGGCCAGAGAGATGGCAGACAGCTCAAGAAAGAAAACTGCTCTCCTCTGTAAGGGGAGATACAAGTGAGCTCCTTTTCAAAGGGAAGCCAAGTGTCTGTCCAGATACTTAGGTTTATGGAAAACTGGGTTGTCAAGAACATTGTGTTGTAAAATACAATTAACTGGAGGAGAATCAAGATGGCGGACGAGAAACACCGCCAGAAAGAGCGTCTCTGCAGAAAAGACAGATTCTAGCAGAAATTAGAAAAAGAAGCAAGAAGGCGAGCCTACAGCAGACGAGGGCCGGAAGGAGGGGTACCTGAGACACCGGGAGACTCCACGGGAGGAGGCTTCGGAGCAGAACTGGAAGCTGAGACTGCCGGAGCAGCCCGGAGACCAGCGGGAAGGGTAGGTGGATAAAACACCTTTCCTCCTGCCATTTGGGACTGGCTGGTGGCTCCCAGCGGGTGGAGAGACCTGCGACACCCAGCCCAAGACAGCCGCTGCCAGCAAGCGGTGAGCTGTAGCGGACACGGCACCAGATCCAAATCCCTGTGCACCTCCGTGTGCACAGACCCGAGCCACGGGGCAGGCACCATATCGTTTCTCTTGGCTCTGGGGTGGAGACATACACCCGCAGCACGCTCCAGGACAGGACTCTTTGGACCTACAGCTGACTAAGGGGGTGTGCTGGCCCCCCCCCCCCCCTACCCGCCCGCGCCTCGCCCAGGTCTGCTGGCACTGTGTTCGCCAGGAGAACGGTGCTGCTCCAGAGGCTGAGAGAGCACAGACAGCAGGCTTGGGCTCCATGTGGGTGAATTGGGACCAGAATCCTCTCCTGGCTGGGATCACAGTCTGAACTCCTGGGACCCAGAGGTCAGACTGCAGACCAGATCCCATGACCGAGGTCCTAGCATTCGCGGGGGCCCACAGAAGGGATATTTGTGAACAGGCCTGCGGAAGTGTGTGGCCTCCAGGAGGCAGATCCAGGCCGGGCCCCTAGAGGCACCCTCCCACCAAAGGGAGCGTGCGCCCAGCCCGCAGGCAGATTTCTGCGCCCAGGAACTCCACAGGCATCACAATCTGGGGAGCCTGGTGACGTGTGGATCCTGGACTGCTGGCAGTAGGCCGCCAGGAGTAGCTGGGCGGAGTTGGGGAGGGTGGAAAGAAGCGAGGCCCGCTCCCAGAACCTGTGGGTCTCAGACAGGCCCCACCCCAACAGACTTTCCTGGCTGAGCGGGACCATCCCACGCCCCCGCCTGACAGCATTTTCCTGGAAGGCAGTAGAAGCAGAACTTTGACCGCTGGCTAATTGGGCATTGGTGGTGCCTGAGGGCAGCTTACACAACGCCAGCTCCCCGCAGCGAACCAAGAGGCCTGATAACAGGACACAAAATCAACCCAGCATAGCCTGTTGCCTCCAAGGGCAACGCCCACCCTACTGACAGGGACACCGCATTTGCACAGGGGCCTTATCACGGCACGCGCACTGACTCATTATACAGGAGTGGGCTCAAATCTCACCCCACAGGCACACCACCTAATGGCTCAGAAACTAAACCAAGCGCGTGTGAATACCTGCAGGAACAAAAGAGAAGAAAGAAACACAACTGATCAGCCATGGCGACGAAATCAGCGAAGATCTCTGAAATATGAAGAAACCACACGAAATACAGCCCCAAAGAGGACAGCCAGCCCTAGAAACTGGACAAAGCCCAAATAGCAACCAAAATGAAGCAGAAGAGCGAATTCCGGTAATGTGGATCATAAGAACACTCACCAAGCTGGCAACAACAAGCCTCAATACAACACCAAAGAAAGCCACAACAAAAGCCTCCAGGATCTGGAACAGAAATGGCCCACAAAATGAAAAAGTTACACGCGAACTCCTGGAAATGAGAATGCAATTCAGGGAACGTACAA